CAGGTAGGTCTGAGATGTCAGGTTTTTGCAGCTGTAAATGCAGCAGGACAGGTTAAAAAATGGGAAACATAACAAAAAGTAGGCACTAAAAATGCATAAAAAGCATATCTAATTATTAAATGACATCATACAGAACCTTACTCATTGAGAGCAAATCTACATGGAACGTATGACAAACATAACATTTTTTAAAGAAAAAAAAGAAAATGCATGTGTGTTCAGTTGATCACAATGTCATTTAAAAAACTGAACGATATCACACATACTATCTGGCCTAGACTAATAAAAAGGATGTGCTGTTGTATTTAGTTATATTAACTGATAATAAAATAATAGAAATATCAATAAGGATCCAAGTCATCATTGTGCATAAAATGAAAGTGTAGGTTGATTTCCCAAGAGGAGAGCTAAACAAGTACATATGCTCAATTTTTTTCTCTCCTTAGCTGCCACATTATGTAACAAAAGTCACATTCAAATCCAAGTATCTCTTATTGCTGAAGAATGAGTTTGCAAAGACTTACTGTTGGTAGCATGACTGCTTTCACCACTGGAGTAAATGGTATAAATTACAAATCTTAACAAATCTAATCCTATTTAATGTTGTTTTTTTGTTTGTGAAACCCCACACTCCCTGCTATTTCTGTATATTTGTTGTGTGTGTATGTGTGCGTGGGAATGTGTACCAGTATACTGCTGACTGCTGACCACGGTTTTAGTCCAAACCCAGCAGGTCTAATCAGCAGGTGGAGGAAACAGATGGTTCAGACATATGATTCAGCCATGACGTGTAACTCTAAGCCATCCTCTGCATTAATAAGCCATGTATATTTTGGTTGTTGTTTAGTGTAATGTATAGCTCGACCTCAGCCACTGATTGGTCAAGTTAACTTTGTATCTCACATATCTTTCTTCAGGATGTGGTGACATTATCAGTCAGTCTGCTGATGGTCAGTGGTCCATCTATGAGCCTCAGGTCCACTCAGGGATTCCCAACAGCACAGGGCTGTGTCAGCATGACGCGGGTGCTCCTTTGCAGCAAATAACAGTGGTTGAAGCTGAGCAAGGAGATGTATTCCAGCATTTCATGGGTTGTCAGTGCTGTGGAGGTCCAGGGATGGAAACCCAGAGATGTGTTTATAGACAGAGGGAACAAGATGTTTTGGGTCACTGCTCATCAGGATCTCCATTTATCTACTGTGGAGGTGAGATTACACCTAGTTTCTAGGGTCTTTTCCTTAATGATATCCTTTCCCTTTACCTTAGCAATTGTGATATTCAATGTACTGAACTAAGATGTTCCATCGGAGTGTTTAAAGCTGAGATTGCTGTTGTCATTCAGCCAACACACACATATATTTATGCAGGCATCCATTTGAGACATATCAAAATGTTCTTGTATTTGATTTAAGCAGTGAGGAGGAACGTGATCATTGGAGTGGAAGTTGTAGAGGAGGTTGCAGTTGAAGACACTCTGGAAGTAATGTAAGTATTTAAGAATTATTATATCATATACCAAAATTATTACAGCAAATAAAGTAACTGTTTAAATATTATTTTGCACAACTAACACTTGTACACCTCATAACCTTTTTTTGTCTAACACATAAATACACCGCAGTTCGTACAAACATACTACATATGGTTGAAAAAGTTTGTTGCTTGTGTATCTCTTCCCAGAACAGAGGATATTTATGCAGATGATCTGCTGGATCCAGATACATCACAAGAAAACCAGCCGTACCCCACATGAAGCCGGAGTGCCTTTCAGTGTTTCTCAGTTTCACTGTACGCTCTGTAAATAAAATTTAATTCACAGTCAAACGACAAATTTAAATGAAATGCAGTTGTATGTATTATGAAGACGCAGGGCTGAAAAGCCTACCTGGTGTTAACATGTCTCCAAAGCTTAGGGAGTCAATGCCACTCTTCTAAGAAATGCCATCATTTGGTGTTATATGATGATAGTAAAAAATCCAATAGAAGATGTCCCATAGGTGTTGATTTGGGTTAAAAGTTCATCACTTTTCACCACTCATATCATATGACCGAAGTAATTCTTATGTTTATTAAACTGCACAGTGACAGAGTGACACCTCTCACCCAATTAAAGTCCTACAAAGCACTAACCTGTTACAACGATCACCAATGGGACAGAAATATTATATCATACCATAGAAATGAGCACTTGGAGAACAATTTTCCATCAGTGTGAATTGAGTATACTCAAGGGGACAAGAAGAATCAAACTATGCTGCACAGTTCTAAAATCCACTGCGTTATGACTGTATGGTTTAGAGTTCTGTATTTATCAGATATGTTTGTATTCTATATGAGTCCTTGTCTTTGATACTTATGTATACAAATAAAAAAGTTACAACTAATTTCTGAATTACTATAATATAATATAATATAATATAATATAATATAATATAATATAGCAACTATTGGACTTCAACTACCAGCATGCATCGCTATTGTTCTTCCGTCATCACTGTGCGCAGGATGTTCCGCTCTCCAGTACAGTGAACGATCCTTGTGATTTCAAGGAAAATAAACCCATCATGTCGGATTCATTACCGCCGCTAACTCTACAGGACCGCATGGAGCGTCTTCAGGAGCTGACGGAATTTACTGAAAAGTGCAAAAAACAGATAAACGACATATTTGAAACGCTGGGATGGTCGCTAGACTACAAGAACGCCAACCAGGTAGCTAGCGTTTGTTTGGCTAATGTTAGCATTTATTGTTCAGTCAAAACAGCAGAAAACCTTCTCGGAATGTTTTGTTTTCCGTAGCGTTTAACTAAGTTTGAGTCCAGAGAGATTTGCTTAAGTGACTATAATGGAGTTTTTCTCTGCTGCCTAAGCTAAGCTAAGTTTGGGGCGTTTTCGGTGAGTTTCTAATATTTTTTTCTGAAGTCACTCAAGCTTGGTGGTAGATTTGCTGGTTGCTCTCGCCCAACTGGCACTTTTATTTGCTGTAATGTGGTTCTATTTTGGCTTTTTTAGTGGTCTACGTCTGATGTAATAAAAAAACGATAATTAATATGTCATGTGTCTTCTAATAGTGTTTTTATGCTTGCATCTTATAATATTTACCGGATTTGTTTAAGGCCGCTTTTCAATTCAATTCAATTTTATTTATATAGCGCCAAATCACAACATAAGTCGCCTCAAGGCGCTTCATAGATACAGAGAAAAAAACCCAACAATCATATGACCCCCTATGAGCAAGCACTTTGGCAACAGTGGGAAGGAAAAACTCCCTTTTAACAGGAAGAAACCTCCGGCAGAACCAGGCTCAGGGAGGGGCGGCCATCTGCTGCGACCGGTTGGGGTGAGAGAAGGAAGACAGGATAAAAGACATGCTTTCTTTTCCTGAGTTTTTTGTTATTTATTTTTTTAATGTGCTCTTCTCAAAAGTTTCAACGAGGATGCTTTTGAAGCTACACTTTGGTTTAAATGTCTTTGTTTACATGAAATAGTACAAGTTTTCCTTCTTTTGATTACCACATATACATTTGTATCTTCTTGGCGATCATTTTCTGGTACTGAAGATTCAAAATAGTGACATTTCAAGTCATAATTCCCGCTCTGAGCAGCATTTGTCAATGACTGAAAGGAAAAACTCCCTTTAAACTTTACATTAGGAAGATTTCTTGAACAGCATTCAATAGAACTTGGCAAGGAAAGAAGGACATACAAAAACAACGGCAAAACGCCAAGTACGGGAGAGAGCAGACAAAAGTTAATGACATCTAAATCCAATTTTTACAAAGACATTTAATTCTCAGTTTGAATTAGACCTATTTTAACGAGTTTTGCTATGGGGTTAATTTGTGGTGCTAGTTGTTACATCACAGGAAAATATGCTTATTATTAGCTTTCATACATATTTACACAATTCAGATTGTATTGAGTTCTGGCCATGAGGTTGTTTAGTCCTTATAAAACAGTTTTAATAAACACTGCAGAAAAAAACCTTTCAGAAGGTAATTGTGTTACAGCAATGGCATGTTAATAATGCTTCTGTGTAATTCATACCTGATGTTAATTTAAATTCATTATTTGCTAATGTAATATGCTTGCATTCTCAGGAACCAATGGAGCAGTGTCCCTATGACCCTCACCACAGGGTCCCGGTCAGGACCATGGAGAAGCACAAAGCCTCCTGCAAGCTAAAAAAGATGGGCTACTCTGCCGAGGAGCAGGTAACACAGTTAATTACAGATTAATGTGTTGGTGCTGGAATCTGCTGCTGTAACCTGGCAATTGGACCAGAGACAGCAGGGCAAAAGCAGTAAAGTAGACTACAAAAGCTTCTTGTTATTGTGCAACAGACTACTGAAAACCTCCTAACCTCCAGTGTTAATGTAAAGTTGTGTTTAATAATTGAAAGAGCTGTAAAGCTTATCACTACTTTGCAGGCGGAGATGTACGACCCCTCCGTGAGCTATGAGAACACCAGCGTCAGAAGCTTTACAATGGGTAAGTCATCACAGAGGACTTTCTCTGGAAATTATCACCTTTCTTTAGTATAACCAAAGTTCACCCTAGTGAGATTAGATCTTTTTAGAAGACCACCTGTTTTCTTTTGAAGTTTTGCAACTTGTGTTGCTAAAAGAAGGAAGAGATAATTCATTTTTGAAAAAAATGAAATAAAACAATCTCAACAAGAAACACTCAATTTAGTTTTCTTCGTTCTTTTTAAATGTACTTTAAAAAGTTTGTAGTGCAGTAAAAAAGATGTATATTGTTATGTGCCCTGTTGAAAGCCATTTTTATCTAGTTAATTATATAAATCATTTTGAATATTACTGTTTTTTTATTTCTTGGAAAAAGAACATATGTCGCCTTCATTTCATTGTTTACTAAATGTTCTTTGAACGTTAAGTAATGATTCTTTTGTCTTGGCGCGTAGTGAAACTCATTTGTAGTAGAAAGGAAGGTCAGGATGGAATTTTTCGGTCAGGAATGTTTTAGTAATGTTTTTTCTGTTCTCATTCATCATGCAGACAAAACCACCCAGCATCAGGTGATCCTACAGGCGAGATCTGCTGCACCAATGATGAGGATGGAAGGAGTCTTCTGGCAAGGTAGCAGCTCATTTTATTCTGTGCGTTATTTTTCTAAGTACAACACACCAACGTACATTTACTAGAAGCGAAGGTACAAAGTTAACTCTGTCATCGCCAACTCATCATTGGCGATGACTCAACCCCGCCACCAGACCTACATTCAGAATCCAGACCTGTTGTTAGATGTTGGAAAAAGAAAAAAGTTTGTTTTTTTCCCCCCTTTGACATGGTCAGATAGAATGGTTAGGATTAGGGTCATGCCTCTCCAGTGATAAACATGCTTTACAGGGTTATTCTTGAATATTCAGATGTTTAATTTTATACACCAAGAAAAATGCCATTAGTTTTAAAGTCCTCACTAAACTCATTGTAAATTCATTGTTCACTTTTTTGGCTCTCACCCTCACCAAATAGTAACTAGTAATTAGTAAAAGAGGAGCTTTTACAATATCAATTTAGGATCGGCACGTCTTTTCTAGTTTTGCTCCTAACATCCATGTGTTGTTTGTTCTGTTTGCAGCGATTGGGGTGAGTATTAGAGGAGATGGGCTCTAGAGAGGTCTGCCACTGGTTTCATGCCTCATATCCTTTACTGTCATATCCTTTCAAACCACAGGGGTTTGGGTGCGGGAAGCTTATCAGTCACATCTGCATCCTTGAACATACAAATACTTTTCCCTTTATGTGATGGGGAAAGTCCATACATGTAGACTCATCAGTCATATTTAGACTGAATGTTTAAAATACTTATGTAGTTTCTGCTTTCTGTCAAATCTTCATCTAAAAGTATTCCAGTAGAAGGCCACAGTTCCTTACTGATGCTGAGTTATCAGCAGAGCTTGGAAGCTGAAAGGAAACGGAAACTAAACAGCAGCAAAACAAAAAGGAAAACCAGTCGTTGATGTTAGATAATAACATGGGGACTAAACTTTAAAGTAACTTCTGTCTTTGTTCCTCACCCTAACATTAGAGCTAACAGGTGAATTTCCTCTTATTAGTGCAGCTAGCAAAACAACCAATTACTGTTTATTCCTTGATTTTAACATAAAACTCATTGTTACAGCCGGGGGCAGCACAAACGTGACCCCCTTAAACCGATTTTTAGTTAAGTCCCCATGTTTTCCCCTCAGTTATTGGTTCTGTTACTAGTTAGCTAACATAAACTAATGTAAGTCTATTGACTGCAGCCAACCGACCCAATGATGTCATGCTCTGTGCTGGCACAAGATGGCGCTAAACATAAAAATAAAATAAAACTTGAAGCACTTATTTCCTGCCAGTGTTAAAGCTATGTCACTTTTTGAGAACAGGGTCCATGGTGTAAATTCGCCTTTATGATTTTCTACTTTAACACTTAAAACCAAATTACTTTTATGTAGAATCCAATTTTGGCTGAATACAGAGCTAATTTGAGAAGTGATCTTAGGAATAATTAACCATTTGACTTGCATTATGTGGACGTGTTTTTGGTTTTTTTAACCTCATTAATGTCTTAAGAGCAAACAGGTTATTGTGCGACTCATCTGGGGTTAGAGTTGGGTTTCCTGCAGAGAAAACTAGAAATTTAGAGAAAGTAGAAAGATTGAATTTTTTGTTTTTCAGGATTCCAAACAAGCAAAACTTTAACTTATCCCAAACCTCTGACTCTGAGTGATCAGGTGGCTGTTTTGAGGTTGAAGTCCAGGATTTGTAATTAGATAAATGAACTAAAATCTTGTCAGTTTAGTTTGTGTTTTCTCACTCAGCTTGTAAAACTTGTCTGATCCTTTATCAGGTCAGTACTCCGGTGAGCCGGTCGACGTGCCTCAGAACCACAAGCGAGCCGTGTGTGATCTCACTGTTGCCGACCGATTGGCTCTGTACAATCATGTTGTCGGCGTCATCAATGAACAGAAGGAAGCATCGTCCTCCAACGACGATCTCTACGTAGATCTGGTGTCCAAACTCCAAAAAGGTGAGATTTAACTCTAAGTTTAACTCTACACTTAGAGTTGCTGTAATTTTAGTGAAGGAAAACTTTTTTTGGGCTTTCTCTGGTGCAGTCCACATAAAAATTGTGTGTGTTTTTGTTCAGATGAAGAACAAAATGAACCAAAGACTAAACTGGAGCTGATGGCAGAAATGAGGGACTACAAGAGGCGGCGTCAGTCCTACAGAGCCAAAAATGTTCACATCACCAAGAAATCCTACACTGAGGTAAATGAGTTGATAAAGAACAATAAGTGTTGTCCTGATTCTAATCATTTACTTCATTTATATACAATCCATGATGAAGGTGAAATAACTTTTTTTTTTAAATTATGAAGGGTGTTGTGAATCACAAGAACCGCTTTTCCCATCTTTAGTTGGAAATGTCAAAAGTAACAGTACTTTAAAATGGTGAAAACGAGGAGGAGGAGGAGCGTGTCAGGCTACATTTCACTGTGTGTTATACTTGTATAACTATGTATAACTATGCATGTGACAAATAAAGAACCTTGAGATTGAGAGATTGAGATTGAGATTGAAAACGAAGGACAGCACAGTATAAATGACCAGTGGATTTGGTGAGCCTGATTTGGAAATCCAGTTACTGGAGCTATTATTGTGCTCTTGAGTTTCAACATATAGTGTTCATGAAGCTGGACAGGCTTTTTCTTTCTTCTTTTGTTAATTTATATCATTTGACTTCCACAAAGCAGCAAAAGAACAGACTGTCTGATAAATTGTTGAGTAGTTCTTTTCCTCAGAAAACTCTCAGCCTCTGCTCCACTATCAGTTTTTCTGCTACATCACCCTACCCAACTCTGATTTGGACAGTTTCTCAAAAGGCACAGAGACAAAACAGGCTTTATCTTGATGGACAAGAGGGCGAAGAATCCAGTTTCGATTCTACTGAGCAAGATGCTGGTCATCTGACTGTTGACTGACTGCCCAGATCTCAACAATACGTGTGTCTGTTTCACACAGGCAGAGAATTTTCGGTGGGAGCAGTATAGTTTTGAAAGACATGTTAGCTTATTCTGTTGAGCAGGGTAAACATTTATGGGAAGCAAGGTAAAGTTTGTTTTATAAGTAGTTTTCTTGTCTTCCTTCTCTCACCATAACCGGTCGCGGCAGATGAGATCTTGTTTAATGAGGCATTAATAGACATGTTTATTGAAACTCGGGATTTTAACTACTTTCAGTGTGTTTTTCAATATAATATCTGCACTGATTTTCCAGAGTCTTGGCTCTAATATATTCCCTTCACACTGTAGAAATAACAAGACTGGAAGAAATAAAACGAAACATTTTTGAACATTAAAAACTAAACTGAAATAAGAGAGTCAACTGGAAACTACAGATTTTTTTTTTTAAGTCAAAATGAAATAAAAATAGAAACTAATTAGAAAAATGCTAAACTATGATAACTCTGACTGGAATACTAAATAAACTCTGCCTGGGAATCTCCGAACTGAAAATCTGATGCTAAGCTCAGCGTGTCGGTCCTCCTGTTTGAACCAAGGTTAGGAAACAGTAATGTGGTCTCTATGATCGCCCTGCAGGTGATCAGAGAGGTGATCAACGTCCATTCTGAGGAACTTGCCAGACAGTGGAAAGAGGAGGAAGATGAAGAGGAGTCGATGAGAGTGGAACAGTCTTCCCACGGGTACACGAAGCACTCCTCATGATCACTTTTATGCTTCATTGACGATTAAGATATTGCATCAGAGGAGTTTATAGGTTAAAGACAATTTTTTAAAATTGTTTTGTTTTTCAGGCGGCAGGTGGATGAAAGACGCTCACCATCCTCAGAGTCTCACCACTCCCACAGTAAACGTCACCGCAGCCGGGAGCGAAGCCACGAAAGGGAGAGCAAGAAGAAGAAGAGTAGGAGGGACAGGTGAGAAAGGACTTATCTAAGGGTTGTGGATGTGTATGGGAAGTTCTATCTTCTGTTCTAGCTCTCGTATACCACACACCAATTACAGAAACAACCACATGACATAATTTGCATCATCTTCACAGCTTAACCCTTTAAAGCCGGTCGGAGCGGACACGGTCCATTTTGCGTA